TCCCCCCCGCCTCCGCCCCCGAGTCCGACTTCGGCTATAGTGACGGTGAGCCATTTCCGCCTGCACAAAGGAGATGATGGTTGCCCCACAGGTGAGTACCGGCCGCCAGTCGTCAACCCGTTGATCCCTCCATCGTCTCGTGCGTGGACGGATCCGGAGATAGAGGCCTTTGAACAAGGCCTTCTAGATCCGGATGTTGTCCACGCCACGAGGCGGTGGTTGCGGATCATTAAGAAGTACTTTCGGCCTAAGGGGTTGGACAGGGACCCTCGTAGTCTCTACGATTATTATCGTAGAAACTACAAGGGTCCCATGTTGAAGGGGAACTATTCGTGTTATGAATTTTTCCCAATTCCTTCATGATGTAATATTTGATATCTAGTTCGCTTGTCCATCTTGCTGTTTTCTTTAGGTTCCTTCCCTTCCCCCCTCCCGGTGCATTGTATTTGCATGAACAGCGGAGGTGGTCTTGAGGGTAGCATATCTAGCCAGGACTAGACAATACTCGTCGAACAGAGGAGCGACAGCGATGCTGAGTAAACTAAGTGCTATATAGAGCTATTAACTCTGTGTGAGTGATAAAGGAAAAACCTTGTCAATGTTTCTACGACATGCTCCATACGGTTTGGTTCGCTGAGTCATAAGCAACTGTTAGATTCGGGCAGTCGGACAACGTCGATGTGGCAGCGAGGTCTATAATCCTACACGAATAGCATGCCCAGAGTATGCCGTCCTACAGAGCGCCCTCCTGCTCTAGCTGATGCTAACGGGTTGCCGGATTGACAACGGAACAATTCGAAGGAACTTTCGAAACGACACTTTCTCAGTCAGCATCTACGACCAAGTCGGAATCCACCCGACGGTCGGCATCATCTCCAATCACGACTTCACTGACCTTACCAATCTCAATAAACGCATCGTTACTGTTGGTATCCACGACATCATCAAGATCGTCGTTGAACTGTAGGTAGCCATCGAGCGCCCACCTCTCATTTCGACTGAGTCCTTCCGACTGAGTAATTTTGGGAGTATCCCTTATCCGTATGTGCTTAGTCGATTTCGTCATTTTCGGACGGTCTACTTTCACACGTTTCCGCACTTGTCCTTCCTTTCGGACGTTCGAAGGCATCATCATCAAATACTGCCTTCTAGTGTGAGAGTAGGCGATTTGAATAGGCAACATAGAACCGTCATGCAGTGGACCGACCTCCCGAAAAGATTTGCAAATAGCTCTATCGCAGGGGAAGGGCTTTAGTAGTATAGCGCAATGCCCTGAAGGGTAGTAAGGCATCACGTATTCGACCTCATGGCCAACAGTATTCTCCACGGCAGTCTTCACTGTCTTGGAAACGTCATCGATCCAAGATGAATCAGGAGAGCAGGTAGGGATGAGGGAAAGCAGCATAACACCACCACAGGCATCTCGGGGACCCTTGGGCCACTCGAACGGGGGCAGGCCGGATGCTCTCGGACGGACAAACTCCTCGGAGGAGAGCTCAACGTATTGAGAGGTAGCACAGACCTTCTCTAAAGCGGGCATGACCTCTTCCTTAGCTGCTTGGTGGCGACGTAGCAGTGGGAAAGTGAGTAAAGTTGTGACAGGGAGACCTTGAGGACCTGCCATAGAACAGGGTCCACACGAGGTCTATGAGTACACGAAACCGAGACAATGCACTCCAGCTGAGCGGTTGGAGAACAGTACCCAGGGTAATGTATTGTGAACGCCCCAGTACTACTTTTCAGTAGTCCTCTTAAGTAGACGTCCCGTCGTAAGTTCTCATCGGAGAAGTAGAAATATACCTGCCTGTCGACCTTGGACGTTGGAGCCTCGGAGGTCATGCAGGGATGTCGAAAGCTTCAACCTCATCCGCAGTGTTGGAATATACGTCTGCTTTCCTCAGCCGAATTCGGGAGTTTTCTCACTAATTGTAGAGTTTATGGTAGAAATGCACAGAAATCAACAAGAATGTCCCCGAAATTTGTTCAGAATTTTCTCATTGTCACCATCACATGTGCAGATTTTCCCACTGCTCATCCGAGTCTTGAAAATTTCACAGCTTGCGAATTTTACGGTATTGGAGGCCGTTTACTCTGAGGAATCAAAAACGTTCCTCGTCCACTACTGTGCAGGGAACATCATCTTGACGAGTTTATTGCCACTCAAAGTTGGTCATCCATTGGAACCGCCAAAAACTTAATTTCCGAAAATTGCGAAACATTCCACGGTCTTGAGCGAAGCGACGCGAAATGTTGCGCACGTCGAATTATCGAATCCCTGCTGCCAAGACTACTTACTACCTTCAAGGTCTTTTTTCCCTAAATGCCTAATAGTCACGGCGGTCGGAGGCCAGAGGGCCCGGATGTGGTCACTCTCCCTCCTACTGGCGTCCTCTCCCCGGATCTCAGGGCAAGCGGCACTCATCATGTAGGCTTATTCGGAAGGGGAATCTTATGTTCACTTATGCAAGATTCGGATGAGGTCGGAATCAACCATCGTTTCTCAGGGCTCAGGATGCTTCACTCGCTGCCATTTTCACTTCGCCAATGATGCAGTTGAGGTTGGTGACACGGTCCGGGTTGTCGGTGGTCACCCGTCCCTGGGCAGCTGGGACTATAAAAAAGGTCCTCCTTTACCGTCCCCCTTCGCAAGTCTACGGCTCATCCTATTCAGGCCTGCCTCTGTGTATTCGGCAAGCCCTCTATCCGTGCTGGTTCACGGTCGAGCCGGCCATGTTGCCACTGATGCGTGTGACGGAGTATGCATACGTCACAGTTGGCCCTAGTGGGAACCTCAAGTCCTGGGAGAGGACTGATGCCGATCAGAGGGTCATTCGACAGGTCGTCCTAAGGTAATCCTATTGCAGCCCGTTAAATCAATTTTTCAGGTCATACCGAGCGGTATGGAAATGACCATTGAGGATGATGATGGTCTCTATCGCTATCTGTTGACGAGGGGCGCCGCAGCAAGGGTAGGGAGGTGTAGGTCTGCTGGATGACTTCCTTCTTCAGCTGCAACAAGCTGACACTACCACGGCATCTGGTTCCAGTGGGGGAGCGGTAGACTCGGCAAGCCTTGAGTCCGGGGCCGCCGGCAGGGACCCCTCTAGTGGGGAGCTGCATATCCCCCTACGACCGTCAGGACCCTCACAAGAGTCTCTCCCGAGGGTGACGGCGACAGTCCTTGCTGAGGGTGAGGAGGTGATTATTCGCTATAGGTTCGATCGGCATTTTTTGACGCTTCTATCACGCTCACGCCTGAGGACTGCGTCGTTTTCGTCAGCATCCAGCTGCCAGTGCTGGTCTGTAGAAAGTAGTAGTGCTAGTGTTAGAATTGTCTATGCATACCGTAAATTGTAAACTTCAGGGCTGGAGGAGGCTTCGAGGTGTATCCGAGTAGATATGTGTCGATGTCCACTCTACACGCTGTTAAGAACGAGCTCAACCCAAAGCGATCACTATTCGTCGGCTGGCCCGGCTTGGACTACCTATCCAAAGAAGGTGAGCTGGTTGGCTTCGTGATTGGGTTGTCGTTGCTATACGGTGGAGGGTAGATGTACCCTTTGAGTGGTATTGAATTTCTGTTCAGAACAAGATGAAGTTCGTCGAGTGCTGAAGCCGTATGACTGCATACCTGTATTTTCTAGCGATCCGGAGCAGAAACGTAGAGGTAGTAGAAGTAGTAGGGGGCTTGTGGAAACCAGTTTCATACGATTCCGTTTGAGCTGGAGGGTCTTCCTACAGGGTGTCCGAGAAAAATGTGTTTTTTTTGAAAAAAAATTGTGCAAATTGAATATTCAGAAAAATCTCATACCATTCGGAAGCTCTGGTGAAGAGCTTTCAGATGGTGTCAGAGTTGTTGGAAGACTCGCGAGCAATTTAACTTCTCGTGGTGTGGTATGGGATTTTTCTTAATCTCCCACTTGCACAAAAAGTTATTCGAAAAGGCACATATTTCAGAAAAATGTGCTTTTTCGAATAACTTTTTGTGAAAATTTTTTTCTTGGGACACTCTTTATGATGGAGCCGGAGCTGCAATACATGATCGCTTTCCTCAGCTGAGCTCGGGGGTTTTCTGACTAATCATAGGAGTTCATATGCGAATTAGGATAGAATTATAAACAAACCACCAAAAATTCCCAAAATTTCCTCAGAATTTTTATGTTGTCACCAACACATGTGGTTGACTATGTGCAATTTTTACCACACTGGATGGAACTGTGCTCAGGTCCGCAGCCAGCCCGGCATGGCTTTGAGGAGTTCCTCGATTTCTGTCAAACTTTCCTGTGGCCAACAGTGAACGACCAAGTGCCGTTGGTGCACAACTCTGAGGACCTTATGACATTCGATGTGAAGTTGTGGGATAAGTAGGCATGGCAGCAGGGTAATCAGAGAGCGTACGATGGCTACTTGGGAAGGTACCGGAACGCGAACCAGCGGTATGTGGATGTGCTGTTGAATGCGGATCTCTTCCCAACGTTGGCTGATGATGGAGAGTACTAGAGGGGGGTCCGCTTCGCTCGGGGATGCGTAGTGTAGTTGGATGCATGTGGTCAGCCTGGTGGCCTTGTGGGTTCTGCGTTGAGGAGAAGGATAGAAGCGTGGTTGGGTCTCCATTAAATGATAGGCGCATGAGTATCATCTACAATGCAGTTTCACTCGTTTTACGTGGAGTGGCGTAATACTTCATGTGAAAAACCCTGGATATTCGTCGTATATAGTGACTTGAAGAATAGGTTTTTTCATATCACGGGTGAAACTGCAGTATATTGTCGCTCGTCGCATAATACAACTGATGTGTTCGCAACCACCGTATGTATTCCAGATACGTCTATTGGGTTAACGACTATCACCTGTTATTGGTGCCTATGTTGTTGAGGAAGGGCCTCCGTAAGAGTCAGAGAGGCTGGGCCTCGCCGCCTTTGAGCCCCTCACAGCTCTCGCCTAGTGGCAAGTCGCCAGCTAAGAAGCCTACGGTGGGGAGGGGGAGGTCTTGCAATCTTGCGTCATCTTGGATTTCCTCTAGATTGGCCTGTTTCTCCACACTCCGTTCCCGACCTCTGAGATCTTCTTGACGCTACCGGTACGGACGCAAGTGATGCAGTCCTTGTTGGCCGCTGATTTGGTGGGCTTCCAGTTCTTCGATTATGCGAGGTAGTAGTTGAGGGGTGCACCCTGGGCGGTTAATGATGCGCGAGATTATCGGCATTCAGAGGAAGATCTATATGCTCGCTCTCATCGGCATTGACATAAGCATTCGGGTAGAAGTGTACAGGAGTCGTCAAGAATTTATCAAGAAATTACCTCGTAATTTTGTTATTGTCATCAACATATGTAGTTGACCATGTGAATGTTCTCGCACACTGTGACGATGGGTGATTAGTCTGCTACAGTGAGTAGGATTTGTTCTACCAGACGCTGCAGTGTTGGAATATATGTTTGCTTTCCTCAGCTGAGCGCAGGAGTTTCCTCAGCAAATAACCAATAAGAATTTTCTCCCGGAATTTTCATATTGTCACCAACATGTGTAGTTGACCATGTGCATGTTTTCCCACACTGGTCGAGCTAATACGACTTCCCGGTTCAGCGTCTTGATTCGTGGCATGAATATCACTCTTGGTTGGTGTTGTCCTATGAGTAGAACCGCTGGGAATAGTTTTATGAAGGGGTCCGTATTTTAGGCATTTCCTCACAGTAGTGAAGAAGCTTGTGGGTTTGGATATGTCGTATAGGCTGTCGGACGGGTACCTCGCATTAGACGTGCCCTACAGCTTCGTATCGGGCGCACCGGCTTCGAGTGCCTCCTCTCAGCAGAGGCATCAGGTAGGTCGTCGTCTTGTAGGCAGGAGTGGTCCCATTGGGGTGGGCAGGTATTGGTGACGGTCGGCCACGCCTCGACACAGTTCGAGCTCATTGCTGCCCAAATGCGGGCCCCAGAGGTCCTTAGGCGTATCAAGGAACTTAAGACTAGATTCGCTGGGAAGACTATTATATGTAAGATGCTCCAGGCGGGCACAAGGAGACAACGAGGTTATGCTTAGGTGGCGTAGACAGGCTGGGGAGGCTTTCTGGCATCCTCTTGAAGCTGAGGACTTTCCGTCAGTTCCTCAAGGTGTATCCAGCGTATAGGAATAAAGTCGTGCTTGTGCAGCTGGCAGTATCGAGGACCACGACTACTCATACTAGTCCGGAAAACAGAATCACATTGGCGAAAAGAGTAGGGCGGAGCGAAGTTTTTTTCTCCAAATTTCTATTGTAGCGGGTTGCGAAATTTTCCTGGTATCGGACGAGACTGTGTGTGTTTGTATTTTCGTAGATATCAGCTTTGGCAAAGGAGATCAACGACAGTATGGGTCCTCACGTATTCTTTTATGCGGGTGATATCGAGACGGAGGATAGGCTGGCGACTATGGCGGTATCGGATCTGTTGCTGGACACTAGTCTTAAGGATGGACTCAACTTGACGCCTTTTGAGTGAGATGGAATTTCGTGGCGCAGTGACGATTTTGTTAGCACATTCCTCGAGTCAGATACCTTTCGGCTCGCTATGCGATGTCCCTGAATGTTGATGAAGATCCGAGTGCGTCGCCAAGCTGCGTCCTTGGCCATCAGGGCGCGTTGCTGGGCCGTGTGGTGTGCTCTGAGTTCTCGGGATGCAGCCAAGTGTTGACAGGCAGTCTCAGAGTGAACCCATGGGACACAGAAAAAGTCCTCAATATGCTAGACGAGAGCCTCAGTCTACCTTTACAGGAGTTGACTACTCGGTGAGGCTCGCTCCTACTACTGTACTGCTCTACTATTTCTGCTTGTACTTGTGGCTGCAGATTCGCGAGGGACATTTCGTATGTTACGAGTCATAGCCTGTTGAGATGGGCGCAGGGGATCATCAACGACCTGGCACGGTGTCGGGCTCACTATGTATCGAGAATGTCTAACCCTGATGCTGATAAGGAGGTGTGTGGGGTTGGCGTAGTAGTAGTAGGGCAGTAGAGGCTTCTGCTTTCGCATATTACCTTCGGCTGAAATGTGGCAACTCAGTTGGTGCCATCGTAGGTCGCTTGGGGAGTTAAGGGCAGCTGCGAAGTTCTAGCACAAATCGACGATCATAACTTTTTCAAACTCGATGTCCCTCGGGTTGTAAGGGACTATAGTAAAGCCAAGAGGAGGATATTCTTCCTCGATAATGAGGGTACGTTGGCACCGGACCTCAGGAGGATGTTCAGACACTCTGAACCAGAGGTCAATCGGGAGGTAGTAGTAGTAGTAGTAGTAGTAGTAGTAGTAGTAGTAGTAGTAGTAGTAGTAGTAGTAGTAGTAGTAGTACTGGTGGTCGTCTCGGGTATGCGACAGTCCAATTTATTTAGTCGAATGTGCTGATGTCGCACGGCAATCCGCCCTCGGCAGCAGTGTTGGACTCCTTGTCGAAGCTGTGCAGTGATCCGAGGAACACAGTGGTGATTCTGAGCGGCAGGGAGAAGTCGTTGCTACAGGTGAGCTACTGGTGGTGGCTGGACACATCTTGAAGGTCGCTTTAGGACTGGTTTGGTTCTGTGCGTAATATTGGTCTAGCGGCTGAGCATGGCTACTACTGGAAGCTTCCTCCCAATACTATGAAGAGGCATGTGGGGAAACTGGGCGAGGAGGTAATGAGGAGGGGCCTGTTTTAGGAGTATCGCTATATGGCACTCTGATGGGGATGATTCACCTGTGAGTTTGGTAGTAGGAGAAATTCTCAATTGAATGACAGTTGTTCTCGGGAGGTTGAGATACAGGTGCCGATTTTTGTGCTTTAGGCCAACGTCGCCTCCCCAGTGGGTCCTGACGGATGGGCGTGTCTATTGCCCGAAGCATCGGAGGCTGACGCGAAGAAGGCAGAATGGAAGGCGCTTGCGGGGGAACTCATGCGGCAGTAGGACGGCAGTGCCTCGCTAGGGAGGAGCTGGAGGCGGTTCTTTCTCGTTGTGTAGGTACGTATCCAGGACGCAAAACTCGTTTGTGGAAAACAAAGGCTCCGCATTGGTATGGCAGTTCAGGGACACTGATCCTGATTTTGGTCTACATCAGGCAAGTGCTTCGCTCCGCCTTTTTTGGGCTCATCGCCTGCGTCTTTTTTCAGGCTAAAAATCTATACTCATCTTTGGAGGAGTACCTGAAGGGGTATGATGTTGAGGTCACTATGGGGAAGGGCTATGTAGAGGTGGGTCGGGGCGTGAGGAAGGGGGAGGGGTGACTGTGGTGTGGTCAGGCGAAGTTGAGAGGGGTCAACAAGGGGCTGGCAGTACAGACTATATTGGCGAAGTTGGCCACTGCTGGAAATGACCAGTCACCAGACTTCGTGATGTGTATTGGTGATGACCGTAGCGATGAGTAAGGCGAACAGTTTGCATACTCGGTAAATAGTAAATGTGAGCAAGGTACATGTTCGAAGCACTGAATTCGATGTCGGTGTCGTTGACGGCTCATCCGGACTCATTGGATCACGCACAATTCGTCCCTGGTGTTGGTATAGTCCGCTCAAGTGGGGTGGAACGAGAGTTGTCTTCGGAGGAAGAGGAAGAGGAAGCTGAGGCTCCACAACGGACTAAGGTGCAACTCATTTATTATTATAGTGGCGGTGGACAAGTTGCCTTAGAGCACTCCGGCTACGGGTGTCCAGCCCTCAGCTGAGAACACCTTTACTCAGCGTATGTGGATGCGGTATTCGTCTCGAGCGTCTCGGCCGAGTCATACGTCGGACCCTTCCTCGAGAGTAGTGGGTGCTGCGAGAGTGACGAGGAAAAAGAAGAAGTCGCCTAGCAGGCAGGTAAGGTCTAGTTCTGTCCTTGGGCTGGCTTCCTCTCTATGGGCTGACGGCCTGTTAGTTCCTTTGGGTGTGACCACTCCTCGCAACAGTTGAAATGGTCACGATCATTCGTATTGCATGTGCAAGGGTTCTGTTTCCTGAGAGCTAGTGGGATGGATTTTATACAGAAGTCTGTGCTGGAACTTCGAACTAAACGATGCACAATTCTCAGCGTCGTTGCTCTTCCACGTTTTAGTCAAAGAATAAAGAAGTGTATTGCAAATACACTGTCACAGTGGGCCGGAAGCCGGGCTCACAAGCGCATTACTACGTTCACGATGTGCACTCGGTGACGGATCTGCTGGGTAGACTGGCTGATGAGACTTTGTACCCTCGGCAGGAGGCTAGTGAGGTCAATGCCGATAGCCCTGCTTCGCCACAAAGGTGCGCCACTTGTACTGTCGTTGGGTCTGATCTTGTATCGACAGATTCGCTGTACACAACTCTCAAACGGTACCGGCGGGAAATAGTGCACAGTTCGTCCAGAAACCGCACGTGCTTGAGGAAGCCCCCATTATGGAAGGGCCCGAGGATGAGCCTTCAAGTGAGGGAGTTGGCCATGTAATGTGTTCACTGGGTCCTTAAGGTCCATCGCGTCCTCCTATTTGGGAAATTAAGTTCCCCAATGCTGACTCCTCGGACTCCCCTGATGACGGCGCGCCATAATGTTGCGAGTCGTTGAGCGGTTATTGATTTCTTATATCGTGTCGTACCATTCAGGAGCTGAGCTTCCAGAGCTTGCTGTAGTACTATTTCCATCGTTTTTGCTGCTTGCGAGGATGACCCACAAGTTTATATCCTCCCTTGTGTGTAGTTCAGTCAATAACTAGTCGAAAGAATAAGAAGAACAAAATTCGACGATCGGAGGAGTTACATCAACCGGCTGTTGACCTCCTGTTGCAGTGCATGATAGTGAGGCTGATTGATTGTAAATAGCTAATCCAATAATCAGCCCCAGAAGTGATTACAGCGCACTGGTACCTCCCTCTATATAAAGTGAATTGGAGGTTCTCATGTCAGCCCATCATTCGGCAGCCTCCTCGGAGCTATCAAACACCCCGTTCCTGGTGAGTACTCACATCGCGCGTCGACAGTTGAAGAGTTCTTCCCAAGTCCCTTTGCGGAATAGCTGTAATTATTTACCAGAATTATAGTCCGTAATGGATACGCCGACAAACATGTGGTTCTGTATCTGTGGTGAATTTGATTCAGCACAAATTAGAGTAGGGCAACCGAGGGGAGCTGAGGGACCGAGGTAATATCGTACTTGAATAATACGCCGTATTGTTCTGACCGAGTAGCTCGGTGTTCAACACCGGATGTTGCGGTTCTGTCGTGCGCAGCCATCTTTTGTCAGAGCACCTGTCCGCTGCCGAAATTTCAGTCCGAGCTCATCTCGGCATCCCATTATTGCTGACTCAATGCCTTTGGTTATACCCCTGCCTAAGAGAGGGGTGGACTGTGCGCAGGATATCAGACTATGGAGGTCCATTTATGGAGCAAGGTCAATGACGACTAAGACCGTTGTGTAGAGGGGGGAGACAGTTGGATTAATCTAACTTGCAAGAATTATTTCCCAATCGATGTAAAATAAATAAGTTTAAACTGAAACAATACACTTATTACCAAAATAGTATGTAATGATCTAAAGGATACCATTATCTCTGTAAGTATTTTATTAACTGGACAGGTTTTTAAAATAGTCTCTGATATATTTCCTAAAAATAATTTCCACTCAGTTGAGCGTCACAAAGAGCGCTAGATTAGTCGAGCGCTCGCCGGGACGCTAGAACTTCTCACTTGGAGAGGCCCAGTTGCTGGGAGTCAGCACCTGATGGGATACGTAAGAGGCTTCTCCCGCCCACTTGCACCCTCTAGAGGTGTAGGGGCCTTTATAGCATCGTCAGTTCTGTCATAATGTATTTGGTTTTAGACCTAAGCTCGAACTATGACTTACATTTTCGACGATGATGTAAAAGGCGCCATCGGGAAAACCAACAGCACCAGAGTGTCAACTCTCAGGTGTGTTTAGTCACAAATAGTGCGGATTATGGTTTTCTCCATGGCAACCACCCAAACCACTATACCTCTACACAACAGGATATGAGGAGGAATTGAAGGGTTTTCCGCGCGCAGATGCAATCACAATTTCACCTTTGCAATCGCGTGCAATTTTGACCCGAAGCCAAATTCACGATTGAGATTGTGAAAAAAATCGACCAGATAGGCGAGAGCCGGAGCAACCACGCAGTATCCGCCGAAGGTGGATAAGAAAAATCGGTGGTTCCTCTGCCATATAGGTCTCTACGCGTCATCGTCGCATGTTGGTGGCCGGGGTTCTCTCGGTGGCACCGGGAGAACCCGCTGCACATGCTGCATGTACGAACTTAATGATGTATGAACTAGTGTTTACCGGTCATAGCTGCACGAGACTGTGGTGTACGAATCTGCAATGTACTAAACACGAATGCATGATTTACTAAATCATACATTCGTCAGACATTCACTAAATCAATGATTCAGCAATGATTCAGCAATGTATTGATTTGCGCTGAACTGACTGACACTGTACGTGGTAAAACGGTACGAAACGAGGCTGTACGATATGATGCTGTGCTGAGTAAAGGAAGATGATTCAGTAGTGACACTACTGTAGTGTACGAATCAAAGGTGTATTATCTGCAATTGTATGAATTGCAACTATATGATCCTCACCGACTTCAGAAACTCTTTGGAAATTTCGAACCCCTTGGGAATTTGCAGAAATTTTTGAAAATCTTCTGCGGGAATTTCATGCGCTAAGGGCCAGGGCCAACTCTAGATTTTAGGGGAACGTAGTATTTGATGAACCTTGGAGCTGATAACTTGACGATACTGCTGCCGAGGTTTAGAGACATCGACGACCCCTGCAGCTCACCGGTGTGGCGCGCATCGTTCGCGGCCTCCTTGTCAAGGGGTTTGAGACGTCGGCAGCAAACCTGTGAGCACGAAGATCCGCTTGCAAATATGCGCGCGACGATTTATTCGGTGATAAAGGTGGACCGCTCTGATGGATCTCCATAAAGTTGCTTGCCGCTTCGGCGACAAGAAGTTCTCATCGAGAACGGTGACGCGACGAGTAAGGCATTCAGTGTGGTCTCGGAGGCTGACACGTCCACTTGTCAATGGACAATTGATGGTTGCAAACTGCTACTAGGATTTGCGCGGAATACTATGTGCTGGGTGAACTGTATATCCTCTCATCCATTGGTCTGTCGCTTGTAAGTCAACAACGACATAGCTAGTATAGGTTACAACTTGTAACCTATACTATACTACCTATACACGGCGCTATCGCCAGATTGGCGACTATGTACGACAACGAGATGTCTACCAGCAGCTCAATTTTCTCCCGGCAATTCAGTATCAGTGGTTGCCTATTGGATTTGCCAGACTTTCCTTCTTAGCAAAAGAATGAATGTACGATAGTAGCGTAGCGAACCGAGTCGAGAATAGAAGGCTGTGTCACACAGCCTGTGTGCAATAAAAGGAGAATTGAACCGATCCGAGGGCTATATTGATGAGCTCCGTCTGGCACCGTAAGCTTACCTGATGGAATGGAGAACGTTCAAAGTACATAGTCGGTGACGACGTCAGTAGCGGTCTACAATGGGTGATCCGATCGCCCATTGTAGACCGCTACTGATGGTGGTGGGCCACCACGAGTCTCGAGCTTTTCCGGACCACCACTGGTGGTGTCAACTCCGTCGTCGTTCCTAAGTCTCCTGTGGTGCCGATAGTAAGCTGTGTCCAAATCCACGTTCACCTCAAGATCGAGTGCGACTTCACGAGCAGCTTGGCACAGTTCATCCCATTGGCATTTCATTGCGAGTCCTTTCTCATTGAGACCGTCGAGAATCGAGACTTCACGAGAGAAAGTGACAGACTTCTCCTGGAATTCGAGGCTAGCATTATTGATGAAGGTAAATAGTCTGTACCAAAACTGTCATGGGTATGCTCTCGAAAGTGCAGAGATACTCGAGCGCGCTTGTTGCAGTGCTCAATGCGGAGTCCCCGGCCAGCACTCTTCGCTCCAACAGAGCCTCGAGAGCACGGACGATAGCCGCGTAGTTAACCAACAAATGTTCAACCGACGCAATACGAGCGCTCCTCCGAGTATTGCTAACCGAGTGGAGTGCAGATACTCCGAATTCCTTCAGCACAGTCCAACGACCCGGGCTCGAAGCGAAAAAGGTATGAAGATTATTAACATACGAGAAAAAGACATCACCGCATGATATGCTTCCCACGCAATCATTAACCAGGTTGTGCAGCGCACGGACTAAATAGAGCGAGCTTTTGAACTCGCTCAACCATCACGCGATCTCCGTTATGCCGACCACTCATCACTGCCGCATTATCATAGGATTGTGACAGTCCTATGTGGACAGTCCACATAGCTTTTCAAGTGGGAGTTCCAAATCCTCCAAGAAGCGGAATAATTGACCTGTGAGTCCCTGGGCCGACTTGTCGTGAGCGGTGCCAAAGTGGACGAGCCGTTCCTTCACATAAAGACTGTGGGTTTGTCCAACACATAGCGAATGATGAGGACCGTCTGTTCAACATGTGCACGGTCCGGAGTCGAATCCACAATAATGCTATAGAAGTCAGCCTTCCTCCTCTCATCCAGAATTCCTTGGAGAACTTTATTCGAGACCACCTCGATCAGCTCCTTCTGGATCTTCCACGACAAGTGGGCTGCCAGCCTGGCAGCCCACCTGGCAGTGCCAGGCAATCGTCGAACTATGATAGTAGTTCGAATGAGCCCAAGAAGTTCCCGTTGTTCGCTTCACCAATACGCTCTTCGGAGCCACGAAATGCAAGACTACGAGTAGCCAAGAAGAGAGTGATTGCCAAGAGACGTCAGAAAATTTAGACCATTAGCGATCTCGGGCTGGTAAAATTTAGACCATTCTTGACCCCTTTAGCGATCTCCCGCTGGATAACCTCCTCCACCACTGAATCAATACGAGGCTGCTTCTCTTCTTCATTCAAGAAGCTCTTCCAATCCAAGTAGCTCGTCATGTGGGCGACGCTCTTTTCATGACCGTATATGTCCCGAAGTATGTTTGCTCCACACAGCGATGCCATCTTTAGAAGCAATCTTTCCATCAGCAGACGTGGACCTCCCGAGGAGAAGACAGGGGTAGCAACATATACCACGAGGTTGGGAATTGTAGATTATCCAATCGCGTTTCCCTTTAAGACCTCCGGCTTCATACGATGTCAGATCATCTGACTCAGATGAGATGGGAACATTTCAACCACTGGGAATTCAGGACAGGATCTGATACGCATCACCAGGGCAGTTCTCCATTTCCGAGGCATTTCTACGGGCCATGTCCACGTGTCGGGAAGGGGAACCTTTAAGAATCACCTTCTTCGACTAACAGCTATGCAATGAGACTCACTGGTAAGACGTCACTTTCACCCATTTCGTTCTTCTCTTGACTTTTGTCCGGACTGGCTTCTCCATCTTCTCTCTTTTCGCCTTTGTTCTCAAGTGAGCAAATTCCCTCTAAGGCAGTACATTTTTTCTCAGAATCAACAACCTCAGCCCTTGTGTCACTTGACAACTGTTTGAACATTGCCTACCAAGCAAGAGTTTAAACAGCTTGATTATACCTCAACTCTTTGCGTTCAGTTTAGTACCTCAGCGGCGAGACGCTGCTTCTTCACCTCATGCTCTCTCAGCTTGGCGACTTTGCGTTTTGGGCCCCACTCAAATACTTGCGATTTTCGGACATTGGGTATGTTCCAAAAAGACCTGGTTTCAGATGAAGCTCAAGGGATTCCCATAACGAATCTCCTGATGGGAGTTGTGCTGCTCTCTTCTCGAGGGAAAGCTTCAAGCAGCATATGCGTCATTTCCGCAGAGCTCATATGAGTTGTCGTATGAAGCACTGCCCAGCCTTCCGGAATCCGGATGACCCCTGATGACCGAGGCCGACAACTCGAGCAACGATCGGACAGTATCAACATTCCCATAACACACCTAAGGGACGATACACGGTGTTGACGAGCGAGCGGCGTTGCTGCCGGCTACCGCTGTTGTGAGAAGTGTCGTTTCCGGTCCGTCCGAGTGTTCATAATCTACAGTACTATGGGAGAGCGCCTCCAGCGAGCGACCGAACCATGTCCGACTCTCCGAGCACACATGCAGTTATAATCGCATCGCCTAGAGTCTCTTTCGACCACAGAGGGGCAGCTCCCCTCGAGCCACTACGACAGGGGGTCTATATTGGACGCGGCGACCGATGAGGACCTCATCATGAGGTGATGATGGCGTTGCTCATTGGATCAGATGACACGGAAGACATGCGCGTCTGCACTTCCTTCCCATGCCGATGGTGATATGTTGAAGATGAGCAGGTCGTCGGCTACGAAATCTCAAGGACAGTTCCTAATTCCACTTCCACGGTCTTATGCAGACGGGAAGCAAGGACAGGATCAGCAACATAACGGGACAGATTTGTGCACGCGTACACATGCCATACCACATTTTCTTGAACATCCTTGGAATTCCACAAACGCTCACTGTGTAATATGTGATTTAGTGGGAGCTTCGCATATGTTCGTGTGGCATGAACGCAGTAGCGTGTGTAGAAATCGCCTGTAGTGTAGCATAGTGATTATAGAGTGTGGTAACCACGTGAGAGGTCCCAGTCTTGTAGAGCTGTAGTAGGCCCCCCTTCGGCAACCCCGACCCCGCGAGGCAGCGCCTTGGCGATTCCCAACAGAAAGGCTAATCTCTGAGGTAGTTGCGAAATGGAAGGACGGAAACAGTCGGAGACTCCCTAAGTTGGCCCGCCGGTGATGTCACTGTTGACTCCTGTGCTGGGCCAAGCTCCCGGCCTGACTGCGGTAGTCGGCCCTTTTATAACGATGATAGAAGTGCTCACTAACTGAATGCTGACAAGTTAGAAACCAGGTGAATGCACACAAGTTCCATGTCGTTGTTGAGCCGCTCGAGTAGTTCATCTTGAAGATCTTCCTATTAGGAACAGTTGAGAAGTTCCTAACTAAGTGTATCCCTGCACTGCAGGAATGCACTGGGCTGCAGGAGTACTCGACTGCCAGTCGAGTACTCTTGGCAGGGGGAGTTCAGTCATGAGCCTCTTTGGTGGGCATCTGAAACTACTTGTTACGTTATGGATCTCAAGTATATGTATACGACGTTAGGAAGGCTCAGTACGAGATCGAGCATGAAGTTGATGTTATGACGACCACTGAAGGGCCCGACCAAGCCGAGATGGACGGCTTCGGTGACTATGTTACTGAGAAGTGGCTAATTGCGCATTGCACTTTCCGTGGCGAATATCAAAATGGTTATTCTGATTGGGGGTATATCCCCGACACCGGGGTAATCCCCCCCCCGCGGGTTGCTTGCCCATCTACTGAGTGGCTCCGTCCCGCTGGCTTCCAGGACTTCCAAGCCACTCCGGAGCAGTCCACTGAACTTGAGCGTCGTTACAAGGAGACTCAGAAGGAGGCCGATAAAATCCGCCACTCTGCATTGGATTCGTGATTGATGCAGCTCTGATCTCAATTCATTGCTATTGGCGTCGTTTACTGCCCATCCTTAAGTTACTCTGTTCCGAGTTCTGTATGGATGACTGTCTGTTTGAACGATCAGCTCATCAGATGAGTCTCATCTGATGCGTCCATGAGGCGCTCAACTCCGTTCTGTTCTCGCTATGTTCAATGCCGATATTCGGGCCAACTCTCGCTATGTAGTGGAAGGTGTTCCCCAAATGATCCAATATAGGTGTTGAGGTTTATGTAAATGTTGTACGGTAGCGTCAACGCGATATACACATTCCTTCAACGATACTACATGGTTGATTGATATGATACTTTTCATTGATGGATAGTTATCGGCCTGTCTGACCGTATACTCGTGGCATACACCCTTTGAATGAGTGAGTGTTCTTAGAGCGCAAGGGGCTTATTCCACCATCTTCTCCACGTAATCGTTACTCATAGGATCCAACGCCCTCGGGTGACTTTTCATGTCTGTTATCTCGG